ACATTACTCTGATCTGATTTTTATTCATTGAGGCGACGGACAAGAGGCACGACTAACATTTGTTTACCAACCACACGAATATCGGCTTAGATGATATATATTATGTGTTAACCTGGATAATTACCGTAATGCAGTCCACAGATGCCTGGTATTTTCGCTGTTGTGCAACTTTTGTTTGTACTAAAGTTATTTCCACAATCATCCCATGGGGAGTGGTCAAGCCTTGGAAGTTTTATTCCCTTACCATGAGTATAGAGAGAGAGAGAGATATACACTCTGTGTTCCAAGATACTCGCAAGTGCTTCATATCCCATCGACAGCAACAAACTTCAACCGCTGAACCATGCACTAATCGAAAGAGCTCATGGCTGTGACCAAAACAATGGCCTCTAAGCAACTATGTGCCGATTTAAACCCCTTTTTTTTGGCCAAGTCAGCGTTGTCTTCTTCCTCCTGAATCCAAACAGGTCGCAAACGCGGATAAGAAGAAGTAGCGAAGGGAGAGAGCAAAAAACGAAACCCTCCACTGCGGGTCCGGTCCAAGAGCAAACCATTGATCTCCCATATTAAATATGTAACTTATTTTTATCTTTTTTTTTATTAACCCCCCATTTTTATTATTCCCCCCCCCCCCCCCCCCTCTCCTTTTTTTATTTTCCCCCCCCCCCCCCCCCTCCCCCCCCCAATCCTTTTTATTCCATTCGTACATTCAAACGCAGTACCCGCACATATGCAAAAACGACATGTCGCTGAACCCCCGAATAAAGAACCCGTGCCAACTTGGATTTAGTAAGGATTGATCACGCTCTCCGGACTCCATCAAACTCCGTTATCGCGAATATTGTCAGCATTCATCGATGACGTCTGCCACCATATGGTCAAGCGTCAGTGGATAAGGTTTGGATTCTGGGTTAACAAATGTGTTGCTCTGCCCTAATCCCAGCTTCCACTGGTGTGCTTGAAGCAATCAGAATCAGCGAGTATTGGGCAAGACACAAGTCAGACCTAGGCAGCCCTGGATGTAGGAAACTGAACTTCCACCATTAATTTACGGTTCTTAAGCTTGCTGATCCCATTTACTTCGAGGCATATAATTGCTTATACCCTCATGATCAATAGTTACAAAGGCTGGCTAGCCGAACAACCTCCTCAGTGCTGTCAGCAGGGTTGTTCAGGGTTAAACCGTTGCAGCAAATAGTTCGGCGGCAGTGATCCATGGACGTGGTGGGTTTCGCCTGGCAAGCGTTCTCCCTAAAAAAAAGCCACAAATGTCACTGAGGCTTAACAACACTGTGACCGTGGCGGTCGTGACTCGCCACACAACTATAAGTCACTGCCCCGGTGGATATCCCGGATAATTCTATCCAACCCACGGACACCAATCTCCTACTCGCATATGCTGACGATATCAAACATTGAAGATTGGAGCAACACAACTACAAGCACAAATACACAAGCTACACAGTACACAATGGTTGGCGGCATCCGGTTTCGGATTTGCCTGTCACTGTGGCAAGCCACAGGACGCCTGCGCCTACAGAGGGACCATGGATGGCTTGCGCTGCACCACCCACAGCTCCAACCACATACCCCATATCCAGTGTAAACCCGAAGGAATAAGACCGGGAGGCATGCGGATGGGAACCACGTTTCATCAACGGAGCCGGCCCACACTCCTTCACAGGCAAACACAAGCACGCTGTATTTGGGGAATCAAGCGCACACAAGGCGGTGGCTGGACCGTAGTCCGCTCCACACTGAGTGCATGGAACCGCTCTTTGAGCCTAGCACGGCCACAAGAACCGTGCACCCCGTCCCCTCCAGCAACGACCAACTGTCTCCTGGAGCCAGTATGAACGATGTAGTGGGTAATAGACAGGTAGGCACCTTGTCAACATACACATCAAGCGCAACCATACCAGGGATATCAAACAACAGCCATTCACTTTAAACGACAAGCTGAAATAAAATAAATCCAATAATGCATACAGATACGGTGGCATAACTCTTCGCTAAATTACCATATGAAGTAAGTTGGTTAGCAACAAATCCGTGATAAGTAAGAAATGTCCACAAGTTACTTAAAATGCTACAAACGCAACAAAATTACCGAAGATAAGCGCAATTAGTGTAAGCAACGTGGCCAGTTAATAGAACATTATTCAGGGAGGCAGAACAAACCAAATAAAGCGGAATGAAATTTATCAATTACATACATACCCCCTACCACAATCACAAACTGCATTGGCACAAACATATCGGCGATTTGCACTCTCGTGTTCATCCCCCTTGCACTATGTCAAAGTGTTCGATGCCTGTAATAGGCGTGCCTCAACTTGCTTGAGATAAAGGGAATTATTTATTTATTTATTTATTTAATAAGAAAGGGATGCATCTAACAAGACTTTCGTATATGTACCGCGATGTGCTCAATTGTATGAATATAGTACTATCACAGGATCTGTAACAAGAACGTACACGGTAGAATTCTTGTGCAAGCTATATGTAGGTTATATACTGCAATGAATAGGACCCCCCAAAAACCCAGGACTGATTAGAGTATATGTCACCAACTCTATTTGTAAATTATCCCGCCAAGTCGATTTAACCTCGGAACAGGATGGATATCTTAAACCTGATAAGCCCGAAGATAGATTTCAGAAAATCATGGTGTTTATTCGCATTTGGTGTCCATTCACGGTGTTACGGATTTCACAAGTTATCCACTAAGGAAGAATTGGCGCAGCGAAACGAGCACAAACTGTTCCATCCGATTTATACACATATTATCTGTGTAAAATACTTGGTATTGGTAATGACAACTGACTTACGACTTAGGTGGATATTGTGGAGACACCTGTTGCATCTCAGTAGCAAACTAGATTGTATGCTAGAAGTCTACTTCTACCAGAAGTATGAAAATGCGCGTAGAGCCCGTGACTCTCTATCTTACACAGACCCGCTGGCCGAAGTCAACATATGTTCCCCCATTACTTTTCTCGCGCTCGGAGCGCATAGATTCAGTTGCCTTTCGGTTCTTCAAAGGTGCTGGTGACCACGGTATCCGTAACACTTAGCTGTGAGGGGCAAAAAGACGCCCAACTCGATTTGTAGACAAAAGTCAGTGCCGTTTTGGTCGGGACGTGATGTGACCGCCGCCCCCATTTAGATAGTGCAGTCGTTAACTAGGAGTGTCAATGAGGCAGAGTATACCACGAGCTGGCGCGGAGATGATCTTTAATCGTAATAATATAAGTAAATATGGTGCTTCTGAACTAGTCAAATCCACTAGGTTTTGTTTGTAAAAGAATATCCAGACACACAATTTCTAACCGTTTCCTTGCCGAGATGGGGGACGCGGGGGGGGGACCGTCGAGTCCACACCCGAGTGAGCGAATTTGAATGCCTTCTGATATACTGACTTATACCTACCTATTCAGTGTGACAGGTCCTATAGAACGAGCGCCCATGGTGGGGTCGAAAGCATTAGTGGCCAGATGTGAGCATCTATACTGTGACTCAAGGGGGGGCAATTCTCTGGCCAAACGCAGCGTAAAGTTCGATGTAAGGTGGCGCTGTTTCTAGCCGATATCAATTTGCAGCATACGTGTGGCGCCGTGTGACGGTTAAACGTCTATGCCTACACAAAAAGGGTTCGGATTAACTGTTGGTGGATATGGTGACATTCATTTGCTATCGCTGTTTGGAAACGATGGCATGACAGTATTTCGGACGTTCGATCTGAGCTGCATTCGACTAGTATCTTCGCTGCTTTGAAACACAACTAAACAGAGCCTAGCCTCTGTGCAGCGTTGCATGTGTGGGCGTTAGGTGACTGAGTCATCTACCTCAAACGAAGTAACAGTCACATACTGTGGCGCTCAACAAGAAAATCCTTATCGTTTACATACATACTGATCGTTTGTACAATATTCACTCTTGCTTTATTGTTCCACAACCCCGTTCATATCCCTTTGAAATCCTTTCTCTGGGCGATGCTGCGCTGACATTCGCCAATATTTGCTCCGTCCGTTCCCATCTTCTTGTATTTCCTCGAATATAATACGCCATGTTAGACATTCTCTGTCTTCTGATACTGGTCCTCGATTATTTGTCAGGATTGCTATGCACTCGTCCTATATTAGCCTCGTTTTAAAACACTACAAACACTTGTTTGCCTGTCATATTAAGCAGGTTTTAGTTCTATACATACTTGACACCGTGTAGGAAGAATTCTTACGTTTTCATGAGGCTGAACAGGTTTGTAGGTTTGTTATACTTCCCGTCAGTCGCATTTCAGATGGCGTTATTCGGTCCCGCGTCGAAATCGGATTTGCAGTTACTGCAACAGACTCTAGAGGATATTTGGTGACTGGGATATTGCGATCTCACTTTGCACCATACGACGACCGGCATGTTTCTTTATGATGTAAAGTATATCTATCTATTAAGCACGATGAACAGTGGATAGAAGACATCTGTTTGTCGAACTGCGCGGCATTTGTTTCTTCCCGGCGATTACAGAAGGTGAAAACAATTTGTTTTCTTTTCTAACTGAGCACCACTTCTTCCGAGAAAGTGGAATAACCACTCAGGTTGTCGAGCGAGAAACGGGTTTACTCAACACATTGTGGGGATGTACATTTAGTCGCTAAGACCTCACCAGTATGTCGTCGCTGTCAGCTCAATTTACACCTGATTGTGGACGAGTTCATTGCACGTGATCCCATTGATTGGTCTAATCCTATCCTTTTTATAAGTTCTGCCATGTGCATGTATTCTTATTGATCGCAGATCCGGCTGATCCGAACCAACTCAATCACATGATTAGTCCCAAGCAGTTGGATGCGGATGCCAAATTTCGGATGTCCAAGCTCACGTTACTTGCTTCTGACCAAACCAACCTTATTGGACGATGGACCAACCAATCAGAATTTTGCGGGTTGATAACAGTTGACGGTTTTAATGCGCAAGAAGTGAGGTTGTTTTCGCGCCATGAACGGCGATGTAGAAACCGGTGAGATGCTCTTCGCACACCGGTTAACTAGAGAAACTGTCACTTAGGGAGCAAGAGATGATAAATGAAACCAAAACTCTGTGAGCATTGCACGAACAGCTGGAGTTACACCCCTTTCCAACTTTCAGGATTACGTCCATCAAGCTTCATCAAGTGTAAGGGTAAGTGTGGTTAACTACTTTTGCCAGTGAATATTAGTTGCTTAGCAGCAAAAGACGGTTTAGCAATAGCAACAAAAATCTGTGGCCACTTTCTGCAATTATATACGTATTATTCCTTTGTTTCCTAGTATCTTTATGCCAAACCTAGTTTGAATCACATAAGGAGTAGAAATATGTGACCGATTCAGTATGGATTAGTAGATGCAAATCCGGCTTTAATTTGGCTGATTATTTGCAACTGGTCAACAGGTCTAAATTAATTTTCGCAACTGAGTACGCAATTGACAACTGCTGGCAAGGCCTTACCTGAGCAAGGATGTTAGCGAACAATAAACTATATTCTGTGTTGCACAAGGTACACACTTTCTGGTTTACACGGTTTTACGAGTAAACTTCATCAGGTGGTTCACATAACAATTTAAATGTGGAGCACGGAGAAGAGTCCTATTATGAGGAGGGAATCTTAGGTTCATATTGTCAAAGTGTTCTACATAACATACTTCCCATACTGTAGACCAATTGCCTTGGTTGGGGCAAACATTCGTTGTAGTACCTCCATTTTTTGAAGCGTGCTCAAGTTTTCTAGGTGCAACGGATATAACATACCTATCCTGACATACAGCTCTGCGTACTAATCCAACCAAATGTTTCCCCATATACTGAGAAGAATAAGGGTAATAAATTACTTAACTGCACGGGCTATTATACAAGATCACATTTTAAAAATAGGTGGGGAAAAGCGTAGTATGGATGTGGGTACCGTTTATTGCTGTTTGGCCTGCAGCTGCATATAAAGGTAGCTTATGATCGAAAGATGAACTTGATGTGGTAGCGTATAAGTCGGCTTGGCTGGCATTGTCTGACCAACTCAGGTATGGTGGCTTTACGATAGGATTGGCCGACTAAGAAGAAAAGTAATAAAAGTAATAATATAAAGTAATAATAATAAAAAAGTAATAATAAAAGTAATAATAAAATCTTCATGGATGAAGATCGATTAGCTTCCCATTCTATGTTAAGACTTGTGTGAGAGTAGAAGAAACAGGATGAAAAGGAACAGAGCAGACCCTTTGAGCACTTTTTCCAGCTCAACCTTTTTGATATGGCAGTAAAGAACGGTGGAAGGGTAAATTAGAAAAACCGTGTCGATTTGCCGTTTATCCCCACTAAAGGAAACGCTTTGCTTGTTACTAAAGTGATACGCTGGGTGAGTCACGGAGCTTCCTGCGTTATCAACTCGCGCAGTATCCGCACTCGGGGTACCATCAACGAAGAACCACGGATAATCAGTTAGGCCCTGGGAGAAAATGACTACCTCAAAAATTTGGCACGAAGCATTAGAGAGAATGCAGCAACTGCCACCTACGAGCATTTCTCCCAAGAACTATTTTTCTTACCCTTAACATTTTCTAACGAATTTGCTGCTGATATTCTGTTTTGGCACCGGAAACGTACAGTTTTGAACACTTATTTCGCAGCCCGCTTGAGAACAGTCTAATACAACAAACAGTCGCTTGCAACTCCTCTGAAAGGTAGACTACCGTCGTTGACTCTTTCAATGCTCGCTTATCGTACTCCTTCTCATTTGGTTGACTGTAAATCGGTTACACTATGAAGTGCCTATCTCAGCAGATTCGTGAGCAGATCTTGGCATGTTTTCACAAAGGCGAAATGAGATCCCCATACCGCTCTGTCAGATCACACCTCCTTGATACTGATCAAACAGCCGCTGGAGATGACTTCAAACTCATACATCTTCGCGTGAACGCTTCTCGAAAGGTTTTAGCAAGAAACTCTTGTCTAATATCGAGGATATTTACATATGCAGTTTGAAGTAGAAATTTTGTGCGCAAAAGCGATTCATATGGCGGGTGTCACCACCACAGTGACCAACAAACACTGTTACTTGGCTAACTGATCGATATCAGATCTATATAGTTTGAATTACCGAGTTTTAAGGCACTAATATTTTTTGTGGTCGTCTTAAGTTATCGATTTGACTGTTCAAAAAGTTTAGAAATCAATCCTCAGCCCGATTTGACGCTTACTACATATAATCAGTGCCTTGAGAACGTGTGGGCCTCATGGAAGTTTACTCGAAAATCATCCTTAACCCCGCAATTATGTCTGGTCTTACTCTTTGTTAAGGTTGGGCGAAGCGGACTTTTACACCACGTTCCTAAATGTATGTTTCACGGATTACCGGATCAAGTAAATAATTGAAAGAGTATTCGGGTGACGCAAGAGGTGCATTTTAGTGTCTAATGAGCGAGTATTCATGATAAGCACATTATAGTAGTCTGTCCTTATGACAAGTTTACTAGTCCAATGGTTAACTGAACTACGACATTATTCATGCACGCAATGGTGAAAATGATGTTGTTCCTGGCGTCAAAGTAGGGCTAACAAAGCCACGGCATATATGCTAAAGTTTAATTAAATTGAGAAGGTAGTTGAAAAAGCATTGATTCCCTGGGCCTGCAAGGTCAGGTACTCGGGGAAGTGATAGTCGTACACGCCTACTGATTAAGGATTCAGAGTCTCTGTTAGGGTTAATAGATACACCTGCGGGTTGCATACAAAACTGCGCGGAGTATCGGGTTTCACCAATCCCACTGCGAAATGAGGCTAGTTCATCCAGCTTTGCGAGCCACAACTGATGGTTAATCTCTACGAGGAAACCGCTCTCAAATTGTGTGTGTGTGTGTTGAATCCCTATCGTGTTCGCACAATTCCTGTGCGAGCAAATTATAAGTTGGTGGTCTAGCGTCAAATTATTTGCCTATTTTGCCATGAAACGTAACAACAGTATGATAGCGTACTAGCTACACACATAGATGACAAGTTGGACTTGAACCATGCCTGGGGATAGACTCTGAGTGCATCGTCTAATCAACAAATAACCACCTGTTCAGTCCAATTAACGAGATAACGTTTACCAAAGGGTGCAACTTATACTCTTGGATGCATATTGCCTACAAGATATTGGCATGATGGGCATGGGTTAGCCCATCGACGAATGCAGGTTGACCTTCGAGACATGCAGGAATTTAACACCTAAGGAAGGCCATTAATACTTTTTACCAGATGTTCTAAATACTGCCATCATTCTTTTAATGTTTGGGTCAGGAACATAGATCACCAAACATCCACCGAAAAGGATAAGTTTGTAACATGTTCGATACGCCAGGCCAAATCTCGGTTCCATTGTACAACGCGTTAAGTTACGTTTAATCCATCTTAAATGTTATGGTGGTGATGAGGGTGACGGGTTGGTTCCGTGGTATTATAACCCCCACACAATATTACGTTTTCAAGCTTTGGAGCAATGCTGTCCAAACCTATTACATGGAGGGCAATTTTTTGAGGTAAAAATATATCAGACCAAATGCTACTAACAAAGGCAACACATGTACGGAAAGATTCTTGGCTTAAAATAATAAATTTCAGGATGAGGCAGCAGCTCGGTTGAAATGTTAACGCAGGCCAGACTTGGGGCATCCCTACTTTATACAGTGTTGTTTATCGGTCGAAGACAACAAGCGTAGGTAAAAATTGCACTTAGATTTTAGTTTTAAAGTCACAATTTCTGTGATTATTGTACTTTCGTACCAGAAGCTGGTCAAAGAGATGCGATAGATCCAAATAAATGTTAACTAGCTCTTTCTCCCTTGTTTGGACTCATCAGTAAACTTTTGAATCCTGATGTAAACTAGCTAATGACTTCTCTATCTCGGATGAACCGCTCAAACCACTGAGCGACGAGTTGTGTTAGATACAATTGGAATACCATCACACACTTAGAAAAGCGGTGGGCATCCAGCTCGTCTGTTGGAAACACGTTTACAAATGCAGATACTTCGAAGTTTACCTCCGGACACTTTGGCTGTGATGGTCGTGGAGATCGTGAACCGTGTGCCGCGGAATATAGCTACCTTCTATCTGTGGTCTATTTAAAAACAAGTGGCAGTCTATGCAGTTTCTCTCAATCGTCGATCGTTTTTAACTAGTCTTTCTAGCCTACCTATGGCCTACAATGTATTTATGGTGTAAACAGTTAATTGGGTTAAGTCATACCCAGCTAAGCCCCATGGTATAGAATGTGCCTCACAATAGACAAGGGTAGCTACCACGAAATTAATAACACTGTAGGCTACTTCTGGCGGACAGTTATTTACGTACAGTTTTAGCTAATGCTGTTGAAACCGATGTGTACACCAATACATTAAAAAACTTGTGAGAATACAGTGAGGTATATCGTTCGTTTGGCTACTGTTATTGGACCTAATTCCTCAAATTTAGTTAGTAGACTTATTTATGGAGTCGAAATTCAAATGTCAAGGATTCCGACTTTTCGGACTAATAAATATATCACCTGTAAGTATAATCTGAGACAATGTATTTTCGTCGACACCTCTAAAATTTTCACCTTTAAAAACAAGCGGGGCCACTGCAATCGATGTTTTGGTACAATTATGACGATGTCTGCACCAGTCATACGAGATGAATGCACGTTATAGGTGAATCGCCCACTTGGCGGTCCAGGTTCGCTGTGCTGTATGTTTGCTCGCATCAGCAAATTGTGTTCATCCGTTAAGCTATATGCTGCAGTTAGTTCAGTAGTGTTCACGTTGAAGGGAAAGTTTTTGGGTTGCTTCCATATTTATAAGCTCAATACTCTGTAAACTGGGCTATACAGCCAACATTTCGGCACATTGGTTACAGCCGATACAGCGAAGTAACTCTTGTTTATTCTACTGTTGTGAAGGTATATTGGTAGATAGAGGTGCTCGACAAAATGTGCTTCAGATTAATATACCAGCAAAATTCCAGGAGCCTAGTGGGATGCCACCGGTATTAGCAATCATTATGTGGGAGGAAGATGGTCCTATAGTACTCATACCTGCAAGCACGCCTATTCACGGCGACTACGGTCACTGCTGACGCATCAGATGCAATTCTGAAGCATGGTAGGGTTAATTATCTAGTTGATGGCTAGG